TCTACTGATACATCATGACCCATTCTTCAATAGCTGAACAGTGAGATGTTCAGCACCAGACAGGATTAGGCTCTCAGTTCTTCCCTCAGTGTTTCAAAGCCACAGAATTAATCTGCAATGAATTATCACTAGTCTACCATTGTCTCCATAATTTTTGATTTTTCAAAAAGTAGAATTATTTTCTTATGACTTTAAAAGCAGCTATTTTGGAACCATCTTTCTCCTAAATTATTGGATGATTGTATCACAAGTGTCACAGGATGAGTATAGGATAAGTAAATCACCTGCAGAGGATATAAGAAAAAAATCTATATATTCTATCATTCATAGAAGAAATCTAGAAGTTCAGATAATAAACAGAATGAATGAGAGTAAATGATGAGTAATTTATGCCTGCTACTATTGATAGTTGTCAGTATCTATCTTTCATCTCCCTTCTGTATCTCCAGGGTCACAAGAAACATTTCATGAAAGTTTCACTTTGATGTGAAAACATAGCTTCCCCTACAGTGTTGCTGCATTTTGGGCTAAATCTTGTATCTTAACTTAAGCTAAGGGAATTGGTGTGTCTCCTGTGCAAAGATGTTACTATCTGACAGCACCAGTGATGCTATTTCTTTTCTTATCCCCATGGAAGAGACACAGTATTGCTTCTTCTTTGGCTGTTTTTATTATTTATTTATTTATTTATTTATATTTTTGTTCCACTGCAGACAGGCTAGAGTGTGGCCAGCATATCTGGTGCTGCCCAGACCCAGTGGGCAAATTTCACCAGAGTGCACTGCATCAACACACAAATAGCTGGAGAGGTTACGAAAGGCTGGGTGTCAAACTGGAAGGTTCTACTGGGTGATGATCCATGACTCTGGCTGAATGCAATTTATGTATTCTCAGTAGTGAAATAGATGATGGAAACAGATTTGCTTGTTTAAAGTTCAGATATGGTTTTCCCATTTTGAAAAGCCGGATCAAAATTGAGTGGTCTTGACAAATGGGAGAAGTGTGCAGAAGATCAGTGGAACAATTAATAATGATGATTAGCAAGCCAAACCTTATGAAGTCAAGTTCACTGAGCAGGAGTTCTGGAATGTCAGATTCTGCCATCAGACAGAGAAATGATACAGTAAAGATATTTTGGATTAATGTTTGTGTATCAAAGAGTGAAGTCTAGACTGGATCAAGTGATCTTGTTTATTTCATGTAAATTTAAATTCAGAAGTTATAATTTCTAATTTACAGCTAATTGCATTTGATATCAACCTGTTTTTAATTGCCCTGGATTTTTTAAAGAATCATAAGACGCATCTATTGTATTCTTAAGGATGATAATTGATGTGGAATGAGATGCTTTAATAAGACAATGATTAACAGTTTTCCATTGTTCCTAAAGGATTATAACAACTAACAATTCAACTGATGATGAAAGCAAAAATAATTTAATTGCCTTTACAAACACTATAAACAAGTGTAGATTGGAACAGTGCTGTTAAGTGAGAGTGCACTTTCTTTCAGATTTGCTTGCAACTGTTACTGTGTTCGTCACTGGAGATTTAAAATCATACACTCATCCAATGGTTTGGGTTGAAAACAGCCTTAAAGATCATCGAGATCCACCCCCCCTGCATGGCCAGGGACACCTCCCACTAGACCAGGTTGCTCCAAAGCCCATCCAACTCAGCCTGGAATACTTCCAGGGATGAGGCAGCCACAGCTTCTTCAGACAACCTGTGCCAGCATCTCACCACACTCACTGCAAAGAATTTCTTCCTATTATCTCATTTAAATCTCCCCTTTTTCAGTTTGAAACCATTAACCTCATCCTATCACCCCATGCTCTTATTAAAAACCCCTCTCCTTCCCTGTGGCCCTATCAGGTACTGGAAGGTGCTCTAAGGTCTTCCCAGAGCCTTCTCTACTTCAGGTTGAACAACCCAAACTCTCAGCCTGTCTCCATAGCAGAGATGCTCCGGCCCAGATCATCTTTGTGGCCTCATCTGAACTCACTCCAGCTGCTCCATGTCCTTCCCAGGGCTGGGTGCTCCAGAACTGGACTCAGCATTGCAGGTGGGGTCTCAGGAGAGCAGACCAGAGGAAAAGAATCACCTCTCTCAACCCGCTGGCTACACTTCTTTTGATGCAGCCCAGGACATGGTTGGTTTCTGGGCTGCAAGCGCACATTGCTGGCTCACATTGAGCTTTCCATCAACCAACACCCCCATGTCCTTCTCCTTAGGTCTGGTCTCCATCCATTATCTGCTCAGCCTGTATTTGTGTTGAATAAATTTGTTCCCTTTCTCAGTAAAATGAATGCAACAATTTGCTAAGAAAAGTTTGGCTTGGAGAAGACACTTCTTTCACAGTTTTGCTTCTGTTTTCAAATGGCAAGAAGCTAAAATGGGATGTGAACAAAGTACTGAAGTGCCTATCTGTCATTTATACTGAATACATTTATGGCATGTCTACAAAAGGTGAGTTGTTTGTTTCCAATTTTTATCTGACAACCAATTACACTAGACACATTCATAATCATTGGTGTCAGGACCTTCTCAGTTGGATGGCTAAACCAACTGATTTTGTTTTCACTATCTGAAATCCTTTAGAATTTGATGGGGAATAATGCCAGTGCAGGATAAAACCACAGTGAACTGTCATTTGGCTTTTAAGAGTGAGTCTTTCTAGTATCATCTTTGGAAAATAACCTTAAAATATCTACACACACACATATATAGTTACATACTTTCTTAATCCTTTAGGAGACCTTTCCATAGCAAATGAGTGTACATTTGATCAATGGTTTAAAATCAGTGAAATTTAACAGATGCAGTTGTTTAGTCCCAAATGAACACATCTACATATCAAAAAGTTTATCATTATTTCAAATAAATTAATCTAATTGAGCCATATGAATGATATTATTTTTTTACTGAATAAATTTTTGCTTATTCTGAGGAAAATAAGTACAAGTGGGAACATTTATCCCTCCGAATACAGATGTTAAGAAAAACAGATTTGAGAAATACATTATGAGATGTATCACCTGTAAAGCCCCCAAATGAATAACTATCTCAAAACTGCCTCCTTGACAAAATAGACATCGTGCTTGTGTGCGGTTCTCATTCAATAAGCCACCTGGACTTTGTTCTCGCAAGGGGCCCCTTGTTTGGTAACCACCCTGATAAACTCGACCCTCTTCTTGCAAGAAGAGCCCCTCCTTCAGTGGTCACCCTGATAAACTGGACACTGTCCTTGCAATGGGAGCCCCTCCTTCAGTTGCCACCCTAAGAGGCAGAGACACTGTCCTTATTTGATAAGGAGCAGTGGCAGCAAGTGGTACCCTGTGGAGGCGGAGTGACATCATGTGTAAGGCCACCAAACAGGGTTCATGCACAGAAATAAGGGTTGTTGCTCAGTCAACTCCAGCTGGGGGGCCCAGGCAACCACCTGGAGCCCCACTGACTCATTTCTAGAACACTCTAAATTTCAACACTGAGTCTGCGTAAAATACACCAAGACCCTCCAAACAGGTGGGGCCAGGTAGTGTAAAAGATGCAGGCTCGGGGTTCTTGGTGTGTGCCCACCCACCAAGGACCACATCTTCCTACCAAGATCATCACTGGAAGGGACAGGGTTGGTATCTTTTCTATTCCCCTTCTCTGTTTCTAACCTTATCTCAGCATATGAGGGTAACATATTTTCTAAGTTTTTGTAACCCATTACTTTGTTACGTTTTGCTAGTTGTAACCTCTTGCTTTGACAGTTTCTGCTACTTGTAATCCATTGCTTTTAGGAGTATAGTGTGGTGTGGTTTTGAAAAGCTTTATAATCGTACTCAATTTTAAGTAAAGTTGTGTTTTGTACAAGCCTCCTGGCTATGGTCTTAACTGCACAGAGAATTCCTGAGCTTAATCTTGCTGAATGGGTTGTTAAAAGAGATTAAATGAGGAGGATTGTTCCCAGGAACACTTAGGCTCCTCTCTGAGGAGTTTAGAAAGCAAGGGGGTCCAGAACCTCACTGGGTCAACCCTCACCTCTGGGGAAACTCTACTCATGCCCACTTTTTGGGATGTGCCATACCCACCTGGTAGGATTTGATATTGAATTGGGGTCCCCACCTCTGGGGAGCTGTGCCCACCTTGTGGGACATGATATCACTCATCTGGTATTTTTATTAATGTATCTTTTATTTCAATCAGACATAATCCCACTAAGGTATTTAATAATAATTCACATTTTGTCACCTTGCTTAGCATTTCCCTTAAACAATTAATATGCTGTATTCCCTTTCTTAACAGATGATATTATGAATTCAGGTATTTGCAGTGAAAAAGAAGTTTAAAGAAAAGGTAAAATGAATAGTATCTTCAATAACAAAAAAAAAGTTAAATGCTTACAGGTAAATCGTTCAGCAAACCTACACTTTCTTTATGCCTCTCATGAAACACTTGCAAAGGAAGTTATGAAACTTTTAATGTTTTTTATTCATTTAATAGGGTAATAAAAAAATCTCTCCATTCAGTATTTGAAGCCCTAGTGATTAATTTCCAGGAAAAAAAAAAAAAAATCAATCCAAAATGGCTAGATAATGATGTACACTGAAGACATACTTTACAGAAAATTGCTGAAAATAGCATATACTTACCAAATATGCATTGACACAGTTTTTCAATACACAAATAAACTGCTATTTACATACTTTCTCCTCTGGAGTTAAAGGAAGAAATAATTCCAATAAATGGAGAACTGTAAAGTTTTATGTCCCATATTTAATAGTGTTAAATCAGGTGCATTGCACTGATAGGTATGATATTACTGCACTCTGAATGTCACTGTGTTATATGACTCTTTTTTATTCATCTTGACTTTTAACTGTGGGAACCTATGCATATGGAACCCCATAAAGCAGACAGCATGAAATAATCTACAGGCTTCCAGCACTGCAGTTACTACAGATGTAGCCCTCTGTACATGCAACTGAAATATCAATTTTATCTTTGCTTTACCTTATCCTTCTTTTGTTTTTCATCTTGGTATATGATCCAGTGCTCCCCATCATTACTGTAGGCAATCTTGTAGGACCCCACAAACTGGACATGACCAAAATCTTTAGCTCCTTGGGTAATTATGCCAGTAATTTTTGTAGGGGCAAGCAGGTCAACCTAAATAAAACAAAACAGAGGAGATTGTAATTAGAACAGTTTCTACTGGCAGTGTGACTTTACACCACACCAAAGCAAAATGATGCATCATGTTTCTTCTGGTTTGGTTTGGTGGGTTTTTTTGGTAGTGGGGGAGGGGCCCCAGGGGTGGCTCCAGTAAGAAGCTGAGAAGCTCCTCCTGCTCCAAACCCAGCCAAGGAGCCATTAGAGGGACAATGGATGCACCTCTGTGATTCACATATGAAAGAACTGAGGTAAGACCTAAGCAGAGAAGGATGTGTGGGAGAAGAGCTGTGCTGGAGAGGGAGAGCTGTGCTGGTGGTTGGTGAGGCAGAAGGGGCAGAAGGTGCCCAAGCAGAAGTTTCCCTGCAGCCCATGGCCAGATGGCAGCTGTGCCCCTGCACTCGTGGAGGAACGTGGGGGAACATTCCCTGGAGGTGCCAAGGAGGGGTGAACTTGGCCAGTGGACTTGGATTTTGTGGCCAGAGAATTTGCTGCCAGTGGACTCTGATGGTGCAGCTTTGGAAGCCCCCGGAGCCAGGGGAGGTGCCTGTTCCCTGAGCAGCCCGTGACTCTGTGGGAAGCCCAGGCTGGAGCAGCTCCGGGCCTGGTGGGAAGGACTCATGAAGGAGAGGTTCCTGGAGGACTCTCTGCCATGGGAGGGACCCCGTGGGGAAGCAGGGCAGGACTGTAAGGAATCCTTCTTCCTGAGGAGGAAGGAGCAGCAGGAACCACCAGCCTGTGACCTGACTCTAAACCCCATCCCCATCCCCCTGTGCTGCTGGGGAGAAGGAGGGAGAGAAATTGGGAACAAAGGGATTTGGGGCTGGGAAGAAGGGAGGGGTGGGGGTAACATATACAAGCGCTGCTCTTTGTGTTGTGTGTGTCCTGTGTGTGTGTGATGAGTGTGAAATTAGATTATTATTTTTTCCCCCAGGTGAGTCTGTTTTGCTCAGGACCTTTAATAGGTGAAGAACCTTCCTTGTCCTTTGTCTCAACCCATGAGCTTTGTCCTCCTCATCCACAGTGTGTGTGTGAGAGTTGAGTGAGTGGCCATGGGGCTGTTCCTTGGTTGTCATGTTGGGCCCAAACCATGACAATGTTGCACAGTGCTTGCAAACAGCTCATGGACACAGTACCTGGTAAGACAGGACCCAGCCCAGGAGGTGGCTTTGCACTGTCTGGCATCTATGCCCACCCTGTGCTGACTCCAGCAACAGTACATTTCCTTCTCCAAGCTCCAGGTCAATATACTTTTGTTTTCTTTTTGTTACTTATCGTTTATACCACCAAATGGCACAACAGGTCTAATGTGGTACCAATTTTCATTCTGCTAGGTGCCATACCTGGTCCCAGCAAAACTGCAGTCTCTATCGTGAATAATCTGCAGCCAAGAAGTGTTTCCATGTGCTCCTAATAATCAGAATATAGTATGCCACAGGTTGATGCCTCAAGTGTCTTTCCATTTCACTTGCAGCAGCAGAACCTGCACTTTATTAAGTCTTAAAACATTCATTATCACACACCTTTACCTGCTAAACTTTCCCTCTCTCTTTAAGCCTTCATTTCTTTTTCTACCTCTGAAGCTCTGAATTCCTTCGTTTATTTTTTTTTTTTAGTTCTTTATTTTGTAATCTTAGCACAATCATTTAAAAAATGCATGGCAGGAATCTTAAAGATTAATACATCTGAGCTTTCAAGTACTTTCATGTGGGCCAGAATATCTGTGATCAGTTCTTTTGAACCAGAATCCAACACTGAATATAACATTCAGGCCAGATGCCTTCGATTAAAATGATCAAGGAAAAGAACACAATAACAGAAGTAAATTGACCTAGTAACATATTTTTTGAGGAAGAAGGGGGATTTGAATTCCCTATAAAAACTGACATTTTCTTGAAATGTGAGGTAAAACTGAAGGTGCATTTTGTGTCCTCCAGGAATGTAGCAAGCCAGTAAGAAAAATAAAATAAAATAAAATAATTCTTTTGAACAATAAATGGCTGTGAAGTGGTCTGCATTTTTAATATTGTCCATTAAATCAGGCAAGAGTAAAAATATTACAGTAAAATGAGAGGAGTGCTGAACTCCATGAGATCATGAGTGAAAAGTTTTTACAGGAAAACTTTAAAAAGAGAAGGTGAAGTATCTCTGGCTGATCAAATGCTGAAGATCCAGCCTTGTGATTTTAGGAAGCTGAGGTCCCCTGAGCAAACTAGATTTTTACTGGAATATGTGAGGTAAGGCAGAAGAACATATATGATACAAAGCATAATAAATTAATCATGAGAAGAGAAGAAAAATAAACACAAATTCAGCTTGTCCAAGCCAATGCCTTTAAAGATGGATGCTAACATTTTTACTCTACAAAGAAGAAAACACAGAAAAGTGTAAGAGTACATTTATAAGAAAAGACGAGGAAAAATTACTACAGAGCAATCAGACAAGGAAGATTGGAGACCTATGCCCCAGCATTTGAAGACAGGTAGCGAATCTGTTTAAGAAGAGGAATAAATTAAAAGCTTCAATATTGAGCTACTATGACATTAAGTGGAAAAGATCATTATCTGCATGATGGTCCAAGTGGTTTAGTTCCACCAGAATAAACTAATTTGTTGCCATCTGATAGCAGCAATATTGCTCAGAGGAGTATTCCAGAGGGAAGCATTCTTGGGAAGTAACACTTTTTTATTTTCTCTTTGGTCAATGGAGAGAGAAAGAGACTTTATCAATGATCACTCAGAGCAGGAGTCTGCTTTGGAAGCTCACATGGACTGCTTGAAGGGACTTCGTTCTTCTGTAAGGAGTGCAGGGGAGCTTGCTTTCCTTCGTCTAAGTGGGCCTCTGGGAAATGCACACTGCTAATTAGTGTAAGTCTTTCATGAATTAATAAATACCAAGTCTGCAGACCTTGCTTCCAAATATTTTGGAACCTAAATTAACAGTCTGTTTTTCAAAAAGGCTGATCCGTTAAAGAATCACTAATTGGTCCATACTTCCAGGCAGCATTTGAACTAAACACTTCAGAGTCAACTTTGGATTCTCTTTATAAATAATTGTAATATTAACATTTTCCAAATGTAACCTCATTTTAGCCGAGAATGCTTCTTATACCAAAAGTTAATGTCTCTCCTGTTAACTTGAAAAAATGCATCCATAAAGGAGTTGTTTATTTTTAAAATGTTGAAAGTAATCTAAAAGGATTTCACAAATATTTAACATGGCTATGACACTCAAGATTATTTCTCACTGAAGTTCAGAACAGGGAGAAAAAAATTGTCATTAAGATTCAGGGGATTTCAAAGTTAAAATCCACAATGAATCTTTGTTATCACATAGATCTGGAGTTAATAAAAATGTCCTACTAACAATTGTTTTGCGCTTATAGGATGTATCCAGTGGCCTTGTACTCTTGTTCAGAAAAACGATGTCAAAACCTGAAAAGTAATTTGGCATAAGTTCAGTCTTTTTCTGAAAGGTTTATATAGCACCATGTAGAATTTGTATGCATGTTTGTGTTTGTGCATTATATTTTAAAAAAACTGAAAAAAAAAAAAAAAGTCATAATGAATAGACAGACTGTTCTAGGTCTTGACAATACAATGATACATATTGTTGTGGATGGAGGAAGAGAATAAAAGGCTGTAGCACCAGCATCTCGTTTTCATACTTCAGTATCTTATTCACTTATTTATTCATAATCTGATGAAATGCCTTCTGGCAATAAAGATTACTGTTAACCTAGCATTAAATAAATATAAATTTTACTCTGTTGCTTCATTACCTTCTCCAAAGGGTTAACATCCTTCCTTTCCTTTCTTCCTATTGAAAGTGTTTTAGAGCAGAAAGGTGAGAAGAATGCACCTCAATTTCTAGGCCAAACATCTGCATTAAAATGGCCTAAATACAAGTCATAACTTCCTGACAGGATGCAGAGCACATTAATTCAGATAGTGCAGATTGCAATTTACAGGCAATCTAACAAATTACCAGGGAGAGAAGTTGAATTAACACACAACCACTATGTACTCTTCAGAGCTGAATGTGATTAACAAGATCAGAATGTGACTGGCTTTTTCAGTGCAGCAGAATTTAGAACGAGGTAGAGGCAATTAGTCTGCAACTGATAGGATCATTAACTGGTCGCAAGAAGAACCATGGTTTACAGTTTAACATACATTTCTACAAGCAGCTGATCAAAAAGCTGTTTAACTTCTTGTGTCTGAAAGAACTCTCTTGGGCTATAGCTACTCCCTTTCCACATAGCTGCTTCCCACCTTTCTTCAGATGTTAAAGATGATTCAGAGCAATTTGGAAGAGAATGAATTAAAAACAACCCACAAAGATAAATTCACCTTAATAGGAATCATTTTTAATGAACAACTGCACATATGCACAGCTTGAACTTGTGTCAGTGTGCAGTTACAAGTGGTGTAACTAGTACTTGTAAGTAGGTCTTTTTGATCAGGAAGGAAGAGTCATATGCATGCCCTGTCCTTGCTCTAAGTAGTCTGAAGCTAATAAACCTCAGCTCTCAGCATCTGACTATGCAGATGTACCTAATGGTCACATGGTCACCTTCGCACCCAAACACCCTGAGAGCTGCGACATTTACTTCTCCCAAGAGCAGGAACATAAGGATGAGACACTTGTAGACATCTGGGTCAGCTGCCCATAGAGCAGTTTGGATTTGCAAGCACTACAACTGTATTTGCATGCAGTGAGCTTGAGCTCAGCTATAGAGCTTCTAAACTCAAGATATTCCGCATGGTGATGCACTGTCTAACACAACCTTCTGGCCTTGGTCTCCATTACATCAGGAAGTTTGGTACAAATAGAGTAGCCATGCCAAAAAATGCCAACTACAACTTTCAGAACATCCCCTCCCTCTCCCTAAACACCTTTTCCTTCTTCTACATACTTGATGGAAACAAATTAAATTCCAGGCATCTGATGAGACTAATCAGGAGTGAGGACAGCAAATGAACAATAAACCACAT